GCTTTCTTTTTTCAGGACACTACCTATTATCCATAATACCTACTGAATTTGGGTGGCTGGCTTTAAAAGAAGTCATTTCAGCCAACAAGCCAGGGCAATGAGAAAGCATATGACTGCAGAAATAAGGGAAGGTATTTTTATATCATAGTACCCTAGGTATTTTTATATTGCAGTATCCTAATCTCATGACTTTTCCTTCTGTAGAGTATTGACAAAAACAGACAATAAGTTAAGTAACTGAGGTAGGACAGTGCTTTGGCAGTTCTCTAACGTTGTGAGTTTCCTTGCATAAAAGTTGAGTAAGGAAAAAAAGTTGTGCAAGGAAAATAGGGCATGGACTGGTATAATTCAGAATGACACAACCTCTCAGGCTAATGTTAACCTCTCAGTTGATGTAAAGAATCAGGTGAAGATGATGGAGGATGATGCTTCTAGCCCTGGATGTTCAGTAGGCGCTGCATAAAGTGGCATTCCACCGTGTATTTTTGTAATTTTTGTAGGCATCCACGTGGTCTATGATCTCTCCAGAGCCCCAGGAAGCAGAGTTGTTAGTTTAGAAGTGCTATGCACAGCCTGCCGCGTCCCAGCCTATGTCCCGCTCCAGATGGACCAAATATACAACGTGACTCTTCCATCCTATATGTTATTTGGAGGAGATGGCTATCATATGCTGAAAGACAAAAATCTGGGATACAGTAAAGGTAAGAATGAGAACCAACAGGGCAGCAGATAAACAATTCCCAAACGTTAAAAGATCTTTCTATAGTACAAGTCTCAGACTTTTCGCATTTACTGGATAGATTAAATTTTCTTCTGGCCTGCTTGTTTGGTTTTAGCCAGCAACTATGTTCTTTTTTCAGTTACATCAGAAAAGGTTCAAAGAGAAACTGAGCCGCGTCAATTCAGCACTGCTTAGAGAGCAGTTCTTGAGATCAGGATAAGCCAGAAAAGGAGTAAAAAATACACTACACAGAGTACATATTACACGTACTGCCTTGCACATGTACTCATTACAAAAAGCATCGAAAAGGAAGATGCTATTTTCTTTAGCCTTTAAATTTCCACTTTCTAGAAGTATTCCGAAGCCAGAATGATCACCTCTGTTACTGAAGGACACACAGCTCCAGCGAGGGGACAGATGCTGAGCTGCTCTGCGGGAGTTAGCCTGCCCCTCCGAAAGCAGCGGGACTCTGGCAACAAGACACCCCGCTAGAGACCTAAAAAGGAAGTGTTTTTCAGTGCTGTCTGAAGATCCCCTGAAGCTGCATGCAGACCGCTAGAAACTCAGCGTTCTTCCAACGGACACGAACATCTTTTCAGACAAAGGGAAACTCCAAAAACATTTTGAGATGAAAATTCACTCTTTATTTCTGAAAGCACAAAAAGGAGGTAGTGCTGTGGTTAAAGGGGAAAAAAGTATCTTCTAGGAGCACATCTATATTTTGCCAAACTTTATTTTAGTATGTTCTGCTTCTGGATGATAAAAGCATGCTTTTACCAAAAAAAAAATCCATTTGGGCCTACATTACAGAATGCTCTCTTTTTGGTTCTACAGGGTGTTTCAATTCAAAATTGATTCTCAGAGGTAGGACTGGTGTTAAATTCAACCTCTACAGCTTGTAAATTTGGGGAGGCTGTCACTCCCGCTCATTATCTGTGCACATGGAAATAAATTCACATACAGAGAAATCATTAGGAATAATGCAAGGGAACAACTTGAAAAGTTCTGGTAAAGTCTTCTAGAATAGCAGAGGGGCAGAACTATAATATTTTCTAAGGTGAAGGGTTTGCACTTTAGGATTGTAAGAGCTTGGACCAGGAGTGGAGCCAAACTGTAATACTTAAGCCAAGGGAGTTGGGGTTGTTCAGCCTGGGGAGACCTTGTAATAGGCTTCCAGTACCTGAAAGGGGCCTACAGGAAAGCTGGAGAGGGACTTCTTACAAGGGTGTGCAGTGACAGGACAAGGGGGAATGGCTTTAAGCTCCAAGAGGGGAGATTTAGATTAGATATTTGTGAGAAGTTCTTCCCCGTGAGGGTGCTGAGGCACTGGCGCAGGTTGCCCAGAGAAGCTGTGGCTGCCCCATCCCTGGCAGTGTTCAAGGCCAGGTTGGACACAGGGGCTTGGAACAACCTGCTCTAGTGGAAGGTGTCCCTGCCCATGGCAGGGGGTTGGAATTAGATGAGCTTTAACATCCCTTCCAACCCAAACCATTCTGCGATTCTATGTATTTCAGATAGGTTCTTAAATTTTGGTTAAGAGCCAGGCTGCTGCAGATAACACATTTCTTTTGTCTGTTTAGGTGAACCCGATATTGAAGTTGTTTCCCGTTACCTCCAGAGAATGAAGAGAGTTTACCCAGCAGTTGAAGGTCGAATAAAGTTTTCTTCTGGAAGTCTTACTGAAGCAAGCCTTACCCTGATTTTTGTATTGTTCACTCTAACATTCTTGCATACTTGATTTTTGCTCGCTGTTTCCATTTAGAGGGAGGAAGGCAGGCAGAGAGATGATGCCAACGAAGGGAAAAGAGAACTCTTCCCTTTTCTTAAACCTTAAAGTGAATGTGTGTTTAGGTTCTGCTTGTCAACAGTAAACAGCATGAGCCATTGTCTTTAATCTGGTAGAGGCATTGAAGCACATGGTGCAGAATGAGAGGGCAGAATTCGTAACTTCTCTTAGTTTGAATCTGCAGGTACCTGCAATTCAATTTGAGGTTTCAAGAAGCAAAGTTCCAGGGAATACTCATGCTCCATTGTAAAACCCCTGACATCCCAAAATGGGATGTTTTTAACTTGTCATTCTTTTAGCTATTTTAGACAATGAGTTAAGAATCTGATTCCAGTAATGTAAACAAGCTTTTAGACATGGACTTATTATATGTACCTTTCTTTGATCTCCACTCAGGGTTAAAGCTCTCAGTCTGATAATTCTATTTTGCTTCCAGTCATATGCCTTGTAGAGCTGGATTAAACTCAGTGTCATTAAAAGCATGAGGTCCATTTTCCTTTTGAAGATGGAGCATCTCACTTATGTTTTCCATTAATAAATAATGCAATGAAAGCTTAATTTTATTTTCATCAATTTAAACAAACTGAGTATATATACTTCACTGTATAATATGACCAGTTTGGAGACTGTATCTAAGTGAGAACGCCATCTATGATTATGGTGCATATATATATGAAAAAGTTTACACTTCTTCTAAAGACAAAAGCCCAGGACTCTTGCCCATTACTCTGTATCAGCAGCATTCAGAAAGAATGTCAGATATGTGTATTGACTCCTTTGGAAGTAGCCCAGTATCAAGGCTTTTTACAGCAGAGCCTGGCTTTATGACAATTGTGATCATAATTTAAAGCCTGTCTCATCATCTATGGCAAGGCTGTGTTTGAGAAACACACAGTTCTAAGAGATGGGCTAATGAGTAATGGAGCTTTGAGCAACCTGGTCTAGTGGAAGGTGTCCCTGCCCATGGCAGGGGGGTTGGAAGTGGATGGTCTCTGGGGTCCCTTCCAACCCAAAAACCAGTCTGTGATTCTGTAAGTATAAAGTCAGAAATCAGATTAAATGCTAAGTGACATTTCTGGCACTTTATCAAGAAGTGATTGCTTATAAGAGAGAGCAAACAATGATTATTTTTGTAAGATCATTCACACTGGAATTCTGACATCACATTTCCTTGTTGTTTATTGCCAAATTAAACTGATTGAGTGTTTTGAATAGACCTGCTGTGTTCTTCCGTAAAGTGCACTACGCTTTTTCAGATTTAGCTACTCACTTCTTAAATTCACTGCACCTATGGACTTCCAGGAGAAGGTGCACCAAGATGAACATTCAGTGTGTATACATTTCAAGACCTCATTAGTTTCCACATAAATTCAAGGGTTGTGCATGAAAAGATCTGAACTACACAGCTGCGTTAGGTAAGTTGTTAGAACAGGGAGACAAACAACAGCTGACCTTGACACACTACTTGTTATAACATGGCATTGATGATTTGTCAATACCAGCCTCTGAAGTTACTAATTTACAGAATGGTCTTCCCCAAATCAACATAAAGCCAGTAACAGGGAGTGCACTTACGGACAAAGGCGTACCCATATGCCCGTTTTTAAAGAGTTATAACAACTCCTTTGGCATACCCAGAGAGAAAGAACATTTTTACCTCCTTTTGACAAACAGAAGGAAAAAGTAAGCAATAGTAATACAAAGAGCTAACGCAAACTGTACTGACAACACCAGTACTGCATAAGAGTTTGTAAAAAGGGAGAAAATGGGCATTGTCTGAAAAGAAAAACTGTGGAATGCCTATTGAAGTATCTCTGTATTGTTTTGTGAGCAAAACTTCTTAACTGCCCACACATGAAAGTCCTTTTCAGACTTTCTTTTATAACGACTTGGCCAACAAATTAAGATTTTCCACACACTTTTATACTAATACATGTTCAGAAAATGGTAGGAACAGACTCACATCCTCTCTTCTAAGCCTGTCAAGAGGATGTCAGAAAAAAACCCAACAAATCCAGATAAGAAATTGCAGAAAAATAAAGGCTAAGGTAAAAGTCATCTCCACTTTTCACACCCATTATTACTTTTAAGAATGCTTTAGATTTGAAGTTCAGGTATTAAACTAAATTACACACATGATTTTCTATGCTCACAGAAAGCATGAAAGCCAAAGATAGTTCTGAGATGATTTATATGCAGTAGATTCAATCAGGTAATTTTGTTTAAAAGAAAAAATAAGATTTGTTAAGACAGTTAAAAATAAGTTTTTGAGAGCATCCTACAACTTATTCCAAACAATTTTTTCTACATATCCTTGAAGGAAAACAATAGCAATTGCTCTTTTAGCAAAGTATACGTTGGCTGATATCCCAGCTGTCTTATTTTATGTCATCCTGTAATTTCACATGAAGAGATTTTGAAGAAATGAATTTGACTTTTACTGGTAACAGCTAAACCAAGTTTTAAATTAAAAGTACAGATATAGTATTTACGTGTAATTGGTATTAAATTTTAATGTCTTTATTGCATAGAGATCTTTTTAGAACTTAAATTTTAGGTTATTTACAAGAAAATATACAATGCACAGTTAAAACATCACACGTCCATTACAATAGTGCACAGCAGATGTTTCTACTGGATGTCCAGCAAGGTCCCTCTATTCACATCCAACAAGACACAGAGCTGCCTTCCTTCGGACCCTGTTAAGCAGTAATGGAGGAAAAAAAGCAACTTATTAAGTTTGAAAACACATATTTACATAAATGACTAAACTGAGCTGCAATGATTAAAATGATTCATGGTATTGGAAAACATCCAGTTGAAAGCAGAGTTAAGAGAAAGGAACATGCTTGCAGTATTTTCTAGAACTGACCCCTGGGATACCTCCCTACTGGTCTCTCACTAGACTTCATTCCACTGATCACCACCCTCTGGGCCTGACTGGTGCTTTAAAGACTATTTAAATGCTTAACATGCAAAGCTTTTAGGGTTTTTTAGCATCAACTGAACAAAGCCCAGTGTTCATAGATACATATTACTAGCTGCTGAGATACAAAACCTCTTCAGCAGAGTAAAACAGCAGGGCTAAGACAGGTACTTTTTGCAGCACACAAGTCTCCAAGCTACTTCCTTGGTTGATTCGGTCTTCTTTTGTTTGTTTTAACTGCTTGAACACTTTGGTGAGAAGGCAGCTAGAGAGCTGGTGCCCAAAGTAGGTTAGACTTGCTAAGCCAGCCTCCTTTCAGTGGAAACAATGGAAGGTGCCCCAGCTTGTTCTGATGTCTAACATTAGTTTCTGTTTATCACACAAAATAAATGGCTGCTGGCATTCTGCAATCCTCAGACACAGGGCTCATGCAGTGAACATCTATCCTAAAGTGAGGGTTTTGTTTGTTTCTTTTTAAATCTAGTTAACTAGCTAAGATCTCCTGCTTACCATGAAGACTACACAGTAAAATTACTATGTAAAACTCAGTGAAGGTTTTATATACATAAATACAAAATCATATGAGTCACAAACCTAGCGACATGCATTTATATAGCATTTTGTGCTGCGTGAATTCTTTCTCCTTTATCTGTTCAGCTGAGACTCAATGTTGCAGTGATCGAACTAGAGGTATGAAACCCTCCTGCCAAATATTCTTAAGAAAAATGCTGTAGCTCAACCTGAGCTCTGCATCCAGAATTCACTTCCTAAAGCAGGAAATGCATAATACAATTAAGCAAAAAAATTGGAAACAATAAATAAAAAGAAAGGCATGAAGAAGCCAACTGCTTATTGCTCTGTCCAAGCCTACTGAAAGGCAGCTTGGACTTTCTGTATGAGACAAATGGGCCTAAACCAATTTGGAAAGAGCTAATCAACAAAAATGTAGATAATCCAGATTTTGCTGATTTTAATACTTTAGTAAAACACGTATTTTCCAGCAAACTTAAAATTAGTATTAAAAGGGAATAGCAGCAAAAAAAGCACCAATAACCAAGCATCATTAGCAGCTTGAAGAATTCTGCAGCTCCTCGACAGAGTTGGCACTTACCTTACTCAGCTCTGGAAAGAGTTCTTGAATCCCAATGTCCAGCAGAACATAAGTTAACTGAAAGAAAATAAAGAAAATTAAGAACACTCCAAGGTAAAACTACTGTTTTTTATTCTAACTCTGAATTAGAGCTCACTCCTCTGCTTGAGCCATACATTCACTTCAGGCAATTTTGAGCTAAAAGGCAGGCTTCTCATGTATTCTGAGTTACCTGTTTGTTGAGCACTGGTTGCTGCATTCCATCAAACAGAAGCCTGATGCCTTCATATTTAGCCTCTTCCCCAATGCACTTGCCTATTAAATCTAGACCAGATACCAACAAGAAAAACACAAGTCACTAGGAAGCACAGCAAAACAGCTAATGAGTGCAGTTACAGATCCCCAGTAATGTAAAAAAATAAAGTTTAAATTAAAGAAAGTTCAAGTTTTATCCATCTAAAGCAGTACACAGAAAAACAAACACTCCTTTGGTTCCTCCTTTATTCTTTTCTTTCAGGGCTGCACACCTAAGTAGTTATTACACATTTTATAATATCAGTGTATTGTCCCGGTGCATCATTTGATAAACCACAAACTGATTTTTTTTTTATTACTTTCTGAATAACTTAGCAAATGGGCCCCTCTTCCCTAGTTTAGAGAGTGTAAGGATAGCTCGAATTGTCTTCTGGCTTCATGGCATGTCCTTCTCAACCTAGTTTTCATCTGGATAAAATACAAACCATAGGAGCATTCTAAAGATGAAAAATGATGGCATTAAGTACATTTGTAACACTCTTGATTTCCGTCATGTCTTTATTTATAACTATGCTGCAACCTTAATTAGAAACACTTAAGTGACAGAACTGAAGTCTGGGATTTTTACCCCTAGTATTCTAGTCAAACCTTAGCAACGTAAGTATTTTTTGATTTGGAAATCTCTGTGACTGTATTTGGGTTATATATCTGCTTGAATAATTAACCATACTCAGAGAGAGCCATGAAATACAGAACCTGGAATGTATCTCATCATTTCTTCAAAAGTCTGCTTTGCTCGCTTCTGTTTATCCTGCAGGGAGCGAGGTTCAGTATTCTCACAGAACACGGCATCTGCAGCAAAGACACATTAAAAAACCCCCATTTTTAGACAATTATGTATCATCACTGGCATCTAAAATAGGTTTTGGATTATGGCTTCCAAGTTGAGCTTCTTTTCTGTATGATCTTGACTGGAAGGGAATTCTAGCCTTGCCAGATAATAGTCTTTTGCTTTCATTAACCTGATCGAATCCAGAATACTTCACCTGTGCAGAGGACAATAATCTTTTCCCAGGGTTTCAATCAATTCTGCTTTAGGTTAGTTATGCTCTTCATACTTAAAATTTCCCTTATAATATCAAAACTATAAGCAATATTTATACCTTGACGCAAAACCGCTGTCTGGAACTATCAAAAATTTCAGAGTTACTTATGAATGAGAACTGCCGTTCATCAGAAGTATCAGGCACTCAGTTTGGTTTTAGGCTCTGAAAGACTTACTCCTGTACTTTTTTGTCTTTCACAAGTGTTCCTTTTGGCTTGATAAGGACAGAGCTGTCTTGATTCCAGAGCTTGGGCCAGATGTGTTGTTTAGATGAGAATGCAGTCAGACAACACTTCTCTGTAGTTCTGAGATAATATTACTATTCATAATATATTTTTCTGTAACCATCACTGGCAGACACACATTTGACCCAGCATCTTTCCACAACAAACTTTTGGAATCTCTTTACAGGCCCACTTGATTTTTAAAATTCCATTCACTTCACTCAAGCATTGCAAAGTTTAGTACTTGGAAACTTAACAAAAGGCATCTCAAATTATCAAACTAAAGCAGTATTTTCACATCAAAGATGTAACTTTTACCAACCTCTCAGCAGTGTTATCAGAGAAACCAACCGGTGCTCCTCAAATAGCTGTTCTAACTTACAATGCAAGTAATAGTCTGTGTACAGTTCCAATGTATTTTTGAAGAGAATTCTTCCCCCCATCAAGAGATGATGCAGCCAGTCAGGAATGCGGAAAACTACCCTACCTGCAAAGTTACAGTGACACACGTTTATCAGGTTCTCCTAATACTGATGACAAAGAAACCACTTATTCAAAAGAAAAAATACTGCAAACAAGCAAGTAATACTTCAGTTTTACTAGTGAAACACCAAAAAAAAAATCACTATTCTCCAGATTGCTTGTCAAATACTTCCTACTTCCCTTAGCTGTTTTCATTAATTAGCTAGCAAAGTGTACAAGCAACCTAGGCACATCTGAGAAAAGGGAAGGGACCTACTCCCATAAGCTCATACTCTGAGATACAGAAAGAAAAGAGATAAAACAATTGAGCAACAAACAATAAATTGTGAGATTTTAGCACAATAATGAAGTCTTGTAAAAAGTGACTGTATTCCTAAATTGTATATTGTTAACCTTGCAAGTGCTGAATTATACATGGCTACTACAATGGAATTTTATTTATTAAAGAACATGAACTTCTTATTTAGCATGAAGTATAATTAAGAGAAATCACTTCTTACCAATATACATTAAATAGTCATAGACCCCTTCTACAGTCATCATTTCCATGAAGTAGTTCTGATTTTGTCGTCTTTCTGTGTTCTCAGCCCGGTTTGCATTATTCTTGAACAAATCATTGAAGAGCTAAAAACAGAAACATCAGACTGAAAACACTGCATTCAAAGGCAAAGGGATATCCATCAGTTCCTCGGGTTTGTATTTCCGTTTTTTTACTAGAAGTAGCTTTCTTCCAGGAAAATCACTTTTCCTTTTTTTTATTATTAATTTCTTTTTTAAAAGCTCTTCACTTTCCAAAGGGGGGGAAATAATCTCACTACATTACAGTATTTCACACACACACACACACACACACATATATATATATATGTATATATACATACATATCACCTCTATGCCTGGCAAAATCTTGGAGCAGATTCTCCTGGAAAGAATGCTGAGGCACATGTAAAGCAGGTGGCTGGTGTGTGTCAGCCAGCATGGTTACACTGAGGGGAAATCCTGCCTGACCAAGTAGGTGGCCTTCTATGATGGGGCTACGGGACTG